TAAATTGGTGTTTTAAGAAGGTATATCATAAATTATTTAATGTACTGTATTGTATGTGTTTATAAATGTTTATTTTCAATAATAAAAGTGCTTGAATTACTTTTTTGGGGCCAAAAAAATTCCTTAGGAACGCATCTCCAGTTTTATAATGGAAGTCAATGGGAAAATAGGTTTCGCGTTACGAAATTTCGCGATACGGTCAATTTCCCGGGAACGGAACCCTTCCGTAACGCAGGGGATGCCTGTCGTGTAAACACTAGTGACTCACTTAAGCTCTGTTATTTAACTGGAATTAATGTCGGTGTGAGTAAAATTTTTCTATTTACTTGAAATAGATTTACCGATTTGTTTAATTATTTATTTATAATATACTGTAATATACTGCAAGTATTTTCTTTAATTTATAAACTTGTTTTGCGACAAAGGGAGGCTACCATTATACCTGGGAGGTGAAGTTAACCTGATACATTTAGGTGAAGTTGACCTGATACATTTATGGTGATCATTAAGGATCAAACTCCGAATCCGATGACCTAACTTCGTCTTCATCATTCTCATCCTAAATTTACCACTGTCGGTAGTTTCAAGAATTAACGCAGTCATTTACTGAATATTCTTTGTAAAAAAATAAATTTTAAATGAATAGTTTATAGGAGATAAGTATTATGATCAGTAAATATACCGATATGCATTACTGACCACCTTTAACACAAAGACGGCTAAAAATAGCCCAATCTCGCGGTCACTTTCCCTTTCTTGTCTCGGCACTGGCAAATGGGGGGGGGGGGCGCGTGATGATAGCAGCTGTGTTTATTACCGGGGTATATTGTTCTTTTACGGTATGTTAGACAGGTTTATAATACATTTTTATTATTATAATATACCGGTAATCTTATTTTTAATCCACCTTCCCAAATGTAAGTTTCAGTATAAAATAATTAGTGGTAGGATCTTGTGAGTGGTTTACGATGTTTTCAATCACCACTCTTGACACGCTAAACCACAATATTTAAGAGGTAAGAATTTTATACCCGGTGCTTAAGACGACCCCTAATTTTGGGCTGAATTTTTTAAGGTTCAAATTCCGTCTTATAAGCCGAGATATACGGTAGGCTTTAGTTTGTCTATTTGCTTACTAACATCGTTACTAGTCACTACTATCTCGCTTAATTTATTTCTTCACTATCTCTGTATAGAGTCGGTGCCTCTGGTATCATGTTTAAATTTTTGGTGGTGAAAACTGTTGAAAAATATTTATTCAGATTATTGCTCATTTCTCCGTCGTTATCAGTTAGCTTGCTGGTATCTGACTGTATTGGTCCAATCTTTTCTCGTGTTTTAGTTTGATACATTTGATAGAATCCCTTGGGGATTGACTTTGCCTCCCTTGTTATCTTCAGTTCATTATTCCTTTTTGCTTTTCTTATCTTGGTCTTAACCCTACCAGCCAATACCTTATAATAATCTTGGAGGTAGACTTCACCACAATTTATTCTCCTACCTATAGCCTTCCTTTGTCCAATAATAATCTTTAAATAATTATTTATCCATTAAGGGTCATTGTTGTTTGATCTGAGGTTTCTGTATGGTATGTTCTGCCTTTGTGCATTAAGTACCTCATTATTTAAATTGTTGTGGAACTCGGCAACCTCAGATCTCGTTATCAGGTCATCCTCAACCGTCGGGTCACCAGGTAGGGTGAGGTCGCCCCCTGTGGGTACATTGTGTGAGGTCACCTAATGTGAGATCATGTAATTCACCCCCAAGCGTGATACCCCTTCTCTCAGCTGCCTCTTCAAACTAACAAAGTTTGCCTTTCTGAAATCTGGGACTTTAGTGGAATTTTCCTTGTGGCTGCCCTGAAAATCTAACTGGAATCTAATTTCTTTTTGATCTGTGTTAGCAAGTTCGTTCCCTACCTCGACATTACTAATGAGGTTTTCTCTGTTTCACAGAACTAAATCGAGTATATTATTACCCCAGGTGGGTTCGGTTATATGTTGTCTTAGGAAACAGTCCTGGATTGTTTCAAGAAAATCCTCCGATCCTGAGTTACCAGTAAGGTCAATCCAATCCAATCTATTTGGCTAAAGTTAAAGTCGCCTACTATTCAGACTTTGCTATGTATGGAAGCCCTGCGCATTTCATCCCAAATAAGTCGTTCATTAACTCTATCAAGATTAGGTCTATATATTACTCATGTGGTTAATTTTTCTCTACCATCGATTAATTCTATCCAAATTGTTTCTGTATTCTGCTCTGTTTTTATTTCCGTATTTATTTCACACTTCAGATTATCCCTGACATAGATTACTACTCCACCTCCTTTCCTAATCTGCCTATCTGTATGGAATAATTTGTAACCTGCAATTTGGTATTTGACAGGTAGCTCAAGTGAGTCTAGGTTTATCCATGTTTCGGTGAATGCCATTATATAAATTTTTTCGGTACGTATCAATGCCCTGATTTCATCCATTTTGTTTCTCATACTCCTACTGTTTGCGTAGGAGACATTTAAGTTAGTCGTGTTCTGAGTCCTCTCTTTGTCGCGTTTAGGTTTTAACTCCCTGCCTAATTTAGTTTTGTCATCATTCCTAGCACTATTTCCCTGTATCCTTTCACTTTGTTTACCCGCTCCCATTGCAGTCTCCTCCACCCCCGTGCTCATATGTTCTCCTAGCCGTTTAAAGACTTTGACATCTTTTGAACTGCCCTCTCGAGAGAGCCAGCCAGGGTTATATAAGAACATAAGAAAATAAGGAGTCTGCAATAGGCCGGTTGGCCTGTGTATGGCAGCTCCTACCACCCCATCCATAGACAGATGCACCCCATGCCTAGCATAAAGGTCCCTTCTGCCGTATAAGTTGTCCCAGTTGTCAATGAATGGGACCGATATTGACTTGCAATATCTGTCAAGACGGCCGTTGACACCAACTGCCCATGACAACCATTCATTGCCAACTATCCTTCTAGGCAGGACACCACATATGATAAGGATTCCTCCCTTCAACCTAATACGTTCTATAGCTGTCTTGAACTTATAAAGAAGCTCCTCACTCCTATACCAGCCAATATCATTGCCTCCTGCACTAAGGCAGATAATGGGTTTGTTCCCATTACCAGACAAGATATTGTACATCCTGTCAACTATATCCCCGACCCCAGCTCCTGGCAAACATACCCTCATCCTATTTTTATTTTTACCACAAAAAGCTCTGCCCAGGTACCGTACCTGGGAGTCACCAACAATTAAGGTTTTTGTGACTACCTTGTCAGCCTTGTCCCAGACTATACTAAAGTCCAATTCGTCTATCAAAGGACTGGAAGAGTTGGTACACTTAGCTGTTGTTGTCGGATCCTTGGTGGATTTTTTCACCACCTTGGTGTGTTTTTCACCACCAGTTTGGTCGTCCCTCTCCTCACAACCTTCCATTCGCCTGAGTTTTCGTCAGACACGGGCTTTCCTTGTCTCGTTTCTTCCTCCATCCTCGCTATCACTTCCTTTAATATCAAGATTTCTTCCTTGGCCCTCTCTAACCCTAACTCGGCCCTCTAAAGGGCACAGCCCTGTTCACAAGTAGCATTAGCCATTACTGACAATCCCTGGGAGCCGAGACTTAAATTAATATAACAGCTAATGTAACTCATGGCAGGAGACATATATAGGCCTAGATTAATTTAACAGCCAATGTAACCGGTCCGACTAATTACAGAAATGTAGCCACAATGAAGTCAAATAAGGTCCTACATGAATAAATCGGACTGCCAACCGCTTCTCGACTAGTATTTGGTGTCACAAAGTCACAAAAGCTGAGTTAATAGATTGCGTGCTTGTACCGAGGGAGCGAGTAATTACCCAAATGTATCCATATGTAGCCGCAATGAAGTCAAATGATGGTCCGACAAGCGTAAATCGGGCTGTGAATCACTTCTCGATTATTATTTGCTGTCATAAAGTCACAAAAAATTGGTAAACTTAATTTAATCTGAGTTGTGTTAGGTTAGGTTAGGTACATGCACTCGATCTATTAACTCAGATTAAATTAAGTTTCCAATTTTTTGTGACTTCGTGATACCAAATACTAGTTGAGGTTAGGTTAGGTTAGGTACATGCACTCGATCTATTAACTCAGATTAAATTAAGTTTACCAATTTTTTGTGACTTCGTGACACCAAATACTAGTCGAGGTTAGGTTAGGTTAGGTTAGGTTAGGTTAGGTTAGGCTAGGTTAGGTTATGTTAGGTTAGGTACATGCACTCGATCTATTAACTCAGATTAAATTAAGTTTACCAATTTTTTGTGACTTCGTGACACCAAATACTAGTCGAGGTTAGGTTAGGTTAGGTACATGCACTCGATCTATTAACTCATATTAAATTAAGTTTACCAATTTTTTGTGACTTCGTGACACCAAATACTAGTCGAGAAGTGATTGGCAGTCCGATTTATTCATGTAGGACCATCATATGACTTCATTGCGGCTACATTTGGGTACATTTGGGTAATTACTCGCTCCCTCGGTACATGCACGCGATCTATTAACTCAGATTAAATTATGTTTTCCAATTTTTTTTGACTTTGTGACACCAAATACTTGTCGAGAAGTGATTGGCAGTCCGATTTATTCATGTAGGACCATTATTTGACTTCATTGAGGCTACATTTGGGTAATTAGTCCGACCCAATGTAACTAATGGCAGGAGGCATATGTAGGCCTAGATTAATATAACAGCTAATATAACTCATGTTAGGAGACATATATAGTCCTAGATTAATGTAACAGCTAATATATCTCATGACAGGAGACATATAGGTGCATGCCCACTGCCCAGTACTTGCCAACAGTGCGTAAGAGACGTGACCGATCGCCCAAGAGGCTAACGAGCCGATCATTTGGTGAGGATAAAAGAAAAAGAAAAGTAACAGAGACGTAACTGAACGCCCAAGCGGCTAACGAGCAGATCAGTGGTGAAAAAGGATAAAAGTAAAAGTAACTCACTGTGAGGAGCGTCTTACAGTCGACTCATGTTTGTTTACAACCGTCAGCAGTTGCCACCTCCACCAGTCCGCTAAACCCGCTAGTTTACATTATGAACCGCTAAGGTGAACATATACATGGATATTTTCCCTTATACATACTGCTGTGCCGAGACAAAATTTGTATTATAATCTTGTAAACTTGGTGTTTTGATTATTTTCTGTCCCATGCGGCAGTTATTTTTTGGTAAATTAAATGAAATTTTCGTGTATATGTTGATGATATTTCTGTATGAATTATGTAAGAATATTCTAGAATGTATTGCATCATTTTTGTTCTAATTTACCTCTTATTGTAAGCCTAAATCATTCTAGAATTCTCCAGGTGCGTCTCGAGTCTTAACCCCGTGTCTGGTAATAGCTAGAATGTTCTAGGCGCCTGATGAACTGTATATAAAATGGCGCGGGCTGCCCAGAAAGATCACGGAGAATGAAGACCTAGGAGGCGAAATCGGTCTACGATTTTTCTTTTACCTTACTTTTATCCTCTTCACCACTGATCGGCTCGTTAGCCGCTTGAGCGATCGGTCACCTCTCTGTTACACACTGTCGGCTAGTACTGAGCATGTACCGGCTCTTGGTTACACACTGTTGACAAGTACTGGGCATGTACTGGCTCTCTGTTATACACTGTTGGCAAGTACTGGGCATGCACCGGGTCCTAAATGTACCTGACCCTGCTTCAGTGTTGGTCAATTTTGGTCTTGAAAAAGCTCACAATCGGTGCCGTCACAACACTTTTTGGCAGGTTGTTCCAAGAGTTCACAACTCTCACTCCAAAAAAGTTTGCCCCCACAGTTTTCTGGACATGCGGCTTCTTCAACCTTGAGCTGTGACTCCTTGTGGGGCGAGCGGCCGCCAGCTCCAATCAGAGTAGGCGGCCGACTGAAACATGCCGCTCTCCATCCAGACCAGGATCATGGGGCTCATTGTGAGAGAGGTACACTCAACTAGAGCTGGACACTCAGCACGAGAACATACTCTTGCCATAATACGTGGGGTATACTGGATACCTAAGTGCCGCAAATTACTCGACCTCACAATACGGACGTGTGTGAGTTGTTGGAGAAGCAACTGGAGGCCTACCCACCAATGCCAAGCCGACCTGCCAGAAAATAGAAGCATGCCCAATTCATTGCATACCAATTTTGGAAGAGGTGGGTAAAGAAATATCTCCCGACACTACGTCAGTGACAAAGATTCTTCAAAACTCGCCGTAATCACCACGCTGGGGATATCTTGATCATCTCTGGACAACCCTTCCCCAGGAGTCAGTGGATGCAAGAGAGAGTACTGGAGGCACTACCGAGCGCAGATGGCCTGGTGCGAAGTGTTAAAGTGAAGACAAAGGACTCAGTGTTAATACGCCCAGCGACTAGACTCTGCCTATTGAAAGGGTTCGGAAAGTGAATATAATGGTAGGCCGTAAATTCGTGCGAAACCCGACAGGGGGAGTGTTATCGTCACGCCAATTGTGTGCGCCAGCTACATGTTAAGTGCAGAAACTGTTTACAACTCAGAATAGCTTACTAAGCGAGATGGAGCTGGTAGCAGCTGTGTGACTGCCTGAGGGACAGTCTATCGCCGCCTACTGTGGAGGCAACATCTTGATTCTCGTCAGCCAGCATTTTCCTGTAGGACATTATATTTGTTCTCGTTGGTCTAACTCTAGGCCCCAAAAGGTGAGTGTGATTGTGAACTGTTGAATCCTCTGAGAACTCTAAATAACTTTAATAAGTGTAATTTATATTTCTTTACTTTTATCCTCTTCTGCCACTGATCGGCTTTGTTAGCCGCTTAAGGATCGGTCACGTCTTTTCATTTATATTCTTCACCAAAAGATCATTCAAGAAGCTGCCCGCGATCGGTCACAGTTCCCTGTCACGCACTGCTGGCAACACAAGTATGCACCGGCCCTGAACGTACCCCTGAACCCGTGCCCAGTGCTGGTCAAGTCTTCTTGAAAGAGCTCACACTCGGTGCCGTCACAACACCTCTGGCAGATTGTTCCAAGAGCTTACAACCCTCATCACCTGAAAAAGTTTGCCCTCACGGTTTTCTGACTTGCGGTTTCTTCAATCTTGAGCTGTGACCTCAGGGGGCGAGCGTCCGCCAGCTCCAAGTAAGGACACCTCAACTGAGTAGTGCCCCTGAGATGCTTTTATACATTCCCTAACTAGGTCCCCCTTGCCCGTCTGTAGTATAAGCCAGGCAAGTTCAGGCGCTCCAATCTCTCAGGGTAGCTGGAGGTGCCGAAGTGCAGGCACCAGCTGGTGGCCCTCCTTGAACATTTTCAACCAACTGACAGTCCCTAGCATATCTCGGACGATGGGTGACAGTACTCCAGATGGGGGAAGCACTTCACCCTGAAGATCGTCTACGGGGGACGGACCGTCCAGATATCTGAAACGACCTTCCTTATAAGACCCAATAATTTATTTGCCTGATTTACCTTCTTCTCACAATGGCCTGAGAACTTCAGCTCATTGTCAACATACACACTCTGTGTCCTTCTCACACACAAACTCACCAGTACATTTTCTTCATCCTGTTGGGACATATGATGGGCCTCCTAGTCCTTACTGTTGGTACGCCCCAGGTGCATCCTTCTACACTTCAGACATTGAATCTCAGCAGCCATTCCTTCCGACCATTCCTGAGCCCACAGAGGTCCTCTTCTGCAGCCTTCACAGTCCGCTTGGTTCTAATTTCAAATAACTTGCCATCATCGGCAAAGTATTTGTATGGAGGAGTGTACAACGTCAAAGTATAATATTTATAAACAAAACAAACAACAAAGGGCCCATTACACTACCCTGCGGTACCCCACTTGTTACAGGTACAGATGACGATTTCGTGCCATTAATCACCACACATTGCTTGCGGTCAGGCGTAGGAAAGTCTTCTATCCACGCCAGATATTTCCGAATTCCGTACCCTTCCAGTTTGATTTTCAGCCTTCGTGGGGTACACTGTCGAAAGCTCTGGCAAAATCTAGGTAAATATTGTCGATATTACCAATTCTGTTCTAGAATATGGGTCCAAATATCCAATACCTTGAGCAATTGTGTCAAGTAAGAGTGCCCCGGCATAAAACCGTGTTAAGTGGCAATCTTTACAAGGTTGTTTCTGCAGTAGATGTTCCATCGCGGCATCTCTGATAATACTCAAGTACTTACATATTATGCTGGTCAGGCTCACCGGTCTATAGTTGTTCGTGGAGTGATGATCGCCCTTCTGGAAGATAGGACTACATAAGCCACTTCTCCATTCACTGGGGACCACTTGTTCATCCAGTAAGCATTTACAAAACAGAATCTTCAGGGGCTCTGCAAGTCAAGCTGCACAGCCTTCTTAGCACTCTAGGATGCATTCACATGTCAGGTCCAGGACTCTTATGGACCTTAGCCTGGACAGTTTATTTCTAATACCCTTCTGTGAACACAATGTGTGGGTCAGTGCTGTGTCGAACCGTCTGTCCTCAAACGCAGGAAGGTTAGTTGCATCCTCTCTAGAACACTGCTGAGAAAAGAAGCTGTTCAATGCCCCAGCTTTATCCTGGTCAGAATCTGCGCAACTACCATCTTCGCTTCAGGTCTGATACTTACCGCGTTTTCAATTTCGACTTTGCATAGCGGTAAAAACGCCTTTTGGGTTTGACTCCTGACCTCGCGTGCAACCAGCCTCTGGAACTCCTTTTCAGCCCTCCTACACTCTATCTTCGCTTGGTTTCTGCTCCTTGCATATCCTCCGTCTTGCACATCGTTTGACCCAACCTACGACTTGGAATTTCTGGGTTTTAATTTTGTCGACCGCCGCATGGTTCATGCGTGTTGAGATCCCTGTATTCTAGAAGCACCGGGTTTGGTCTGGGTATATATTATCGATCAAATGGGCTGGTCATTTTACTAGTTATGATATTCAGCGTAGTGTCTGCGTTCATGTACCTTAATGTCAGGTTGTGCTGATACCCTCATTCTTCCTCATCCCATTGTACTTTGCAATATTCGTACCTTGGCCTGGCCTTGTTCCTTGAACCAGGTAACAGTTAAATCTGAATGACAACACTGTATAGTGACTGTTAACTGGGGCAAGGTGTTCTTAGTTTGGCCACCATACCTCCTTGTTTGTTATGATGAGGTCAAGTGGTTTGGTGTTTGTTCTCTGTAATGTGTCGGGTCTCTCTACATGTTGGAAACAGAAAATTATCTCTATTTCTACAAAAGAGTAGCAGGATTATTAAAGTCATCTGTGGACTCCGTTTATCCGTCGATGTCGCCATAGCAAAGTCCCCCATGATAAGGAGGTGGCTGGGGCTACATCGCCGCATTGTTTATTGGCTCTAAGTTCCTTGATTTAGTGGCCACAGCTCTGAGGATCTGTAGATACACCCGACGACAAGTAAGTTCCTCTTTTAATTCTATTCTTACACCACTTGACCTTCAAAAACATCCTCTCCCCAAAATTCCTCGCCTGGCTGGTCAAGGTCTTGCTTGAAGCGTAGATAACCACAATCTCCCTGCAGGATTCTTGAGTTAGTCTTCGTAAATGAGTCATATCCAGCAACATTGAACTCACATCTTCTGGGTCGATTCTCCTGTTCTGTACAACAGTTCTACAACTCCTACAATATCTGGTTGGTGTACTCTAGTAGTGTTTCAAACTCTCTATCAAGGAACGTGTCAGTATTAGTGTACATGATATCTGCCCAGAATTTGTTCTCGCAACGTCTCTTGCTCTTAGGGTCAAACCCGCTCCACCCACATTCTCAGAAGCTGCAGCATTGCCAAGTACACTGTATTTGCAGTGTGTGGTTAAAAATGTCATTGCTTTACACGGCGCTCTGTTCTTCCCGTCCGGTAGGCTGAGCTGTTGCCTCCCGGGTGGGGGGGCTGTAAGGAGGGTGCACCGCTGCCCTGGCCCTGTGTCGGCAATAATTTGTTTCCACTCACTCCTCCCCCGAGTATATAACCCATGCACCTGTCCCCGTTCCCTCCTCGACTCCTCCCCTTCTTGCTTCAAGTCCTGCAGGAG